TGAGAGGTATGTTTGAACATTTAAGTTTAGCCTATAGGTATAATGAAACAATTAAAATTCGTCAATTTAAGCTGTCTTTTAGTTGTAAAAACTTATTATTCGTAATCCCAACTAACGATGAAACATGACTATCATATAGGCTAATAATACGAAGTTGAGAGACATAAGGCTTTATAGATTTCTAAGAGTTAAAGCGTAGTAGTAGTGCTGTAACTGTATAACGATTATTAAAATAAAATTAAAGATCAGTTTGGTTTTAAAGCGAGCGTTAAAAGTTGTTTCTGTTTATTATTATTACTATTATTATTTATGATTATTACATACTATTTTAGAATGGATTTAAATGTTTATTGTATTTTTTGTTTGTTTTATCTCTTTTTTTTTTGATTCGTATAATAATACGTTAGGGTTCTTTAATAAAACTTGGTCAGTCAATTTTTGTCAGCAACAGGATTATGGTTTTTAGGCCTGAATTTATCAATATTTCACGTTAAAGACTTCCGCCAGTATTAATTTAGTCACAGACATAATTATTTTTGTACATATTTTTTTTTATTCGTGACGATTTAACGATTTAGCGATTTAAATTTTCGATTAACCAATAAAATGTCTACTATATCCGGGATGATCTACAAAAATTGGCCAATCACAACGAAAGCCCGCTATGCTTTAGGATTCGAATATCAGATATTTTTAGTTTCTTAACAAGTGAGTTAAGATTAGAGAAAAATATGAATCTGTTGTGATTACTAACGGAAGAGCCAGTTCCTTGTGTTGAGGTGCGCTATACCATTATCGTTACGTATAGGTCAGGTCTCATGACAAAAAGCAGTCCTGTGACTTCTTCGTTCACGTGCAGCCCATAATTTAATGATAAAATACAATTTTTAAAAAAAAAGATACTTCAAAGGTTTTTATCGCAAGAGTTAAAAAAAGTAGCCCATGCTAAAAGTTTGAGAGTTTTTTATATATAAAGAAGACTAGTTAAGTTGTAAAGTATAAATGTTAATTTGAAGGAAAGTTTGCATTTTTCGTATTATTTCATATTGCTACAACTTGCAGATCTACTAATTAAATCATTACCCTGAAAATTTTCAGACATTACACTTGACCGATAACGATAAGGGGTTGTACGTATTATTAATACAATGTCTCTCTTTTACTAAATATGACAATACGATTGTCGATAGTCACAGGGACAAGAAAATACTATGTATAATGTCAAACGATTTTTAACAAGAGGGTATAACGGGGTCAAAGACAAACACTTCTACTCTAATTTCGAAAGTTTTAGAACTTCAGTTATCGTTATTCAGAAAATACATTTCGAACTCTTAAGAGTTAATTTTATTTAAAATACGTTGGGTTTTTTTATATACATTTTCGTTACTATCAAATTCTTTCTAATATTTCTGACCTATTTTGTATATATATCTATAAGATCTGGCATATACAGTATATATAGGGTAGATATTGGGTATATATAGTAGGTATGCTACGACTAATTTTGGATAAATCATCCCAAGCCACCTCAGCATCGATTTACCCTTTCACAACGTAACTGTACCATTTTTTATCCGATATTGGGGAAGATATTAGATGTCTGCGAAATTATATGACCGGAACCATTACATGACTAATAATTGATATATACATAATAGTTGCGCAAGCTCTAATTAGTTTTATACGTATCAATTATATTTATATACTGTCATGATTTTCTTAGGAAATCGTGACCTAGTAATGTACGGGTGGTAACGAGAATGTGCATAAGCCTTAAGTCACACGAGTTGTAATGGGGCTAAGTAGATATTAAGGCTTGGGTTATTAAAAGATGTAATATTTAGTAATTCGTCATTTTTGTTTATTTTTATATCTAATGATTATTACTTGTTTGTTAAGGCGTAATGACTAGAAGTGAGCTAAAGTTTAGAAAAGGTTGGAAGAGAGTAAGGCGGAGTAACTAGAGTATAGAAAAGCTTAGTTAGTGAGATAGAAAATATGTAAAGAAAGTATGTAATTAGTAAGATGTTTAGCGAATGTGTAGTTCTAGTCAAAGGAACTAAAAATAACTTGTACAAAGCCTTTAATGTATTTCGAAAGTATAAAAGAGCTGTCTTTTCGCTCTTCGAATAAAGCTTCGAATTTCATTGTCTTTAATATAAGAGTATTAAGAATTGATTTCTCAGTTGTTGTTATAAGTTTATTGTCACTTTGTTATATTTATTGTTATTTTCTTAACCGTGAAGGCTCTTCACGATCGTATTATACATTTTCTGTTAGTACCTTATTACCCTATTACGTACTCTATTACCTTATTACCTAATAAGTATCGACTCTTAATATCGGTTGTACTTAACTATCGATATTACTGATTTATCTTATTACGATTATACATAACTTGATTTATTGACCTGATTGATTACCGGAAGATATAATTAAGTGCCCCGATCTCGGATTAATTACGTAATTTCACGTGTTTGAGTTATTACTATAATCGAATCTCTTTATTATTATATTACTTTGAGTTCTATATAAAGAACATATAACATATAAGTTAACTATTGGAGCTAAACTCTGCCGATAGTTCTATACGCTCTCCCAAACAATAGTAACAATACATATGTATGTATTTTATTTTTTATATCTTTATTTTAATTTTATCAATAGTTAATAATTTGTATAACCACCTTCAGCTTCTATTACAGCTACAATTCTTTTAGGCATTGACTCATACAACTTATTTATTGCATCAAATCCAATTTCATTCCATATTTCTACTACACGCTCCCATAGCTTTTGTTTTTCTTTACTACTAAAATATTCACCCCTTAAATGTCTCTTAATTTCAGCCCAAAGATGCTCAATAGGATTTAAATCGGGAGAGTATGGAGGCCAATTGACGATAACATTTATTCTTTTTTCATCAAGCCAGCTTTTTGTCAAAATGGATTTGTGAATTGATGCATTGTCTTGTTGAAAAATCATATCATCGTCAATAATATCTAAGAGACAATCTTCAAGAATATTAAGATAGCCCTCAGAATTTAAGGTTTCTTCAACTAACTGAAGTCGACAATCATCAGGACTCATACAACCCCAAACCATTATGTTTCCACCACCAAATTTTTTCGTTGGAATAATTCGAGCATCATTTAATTTTTTATCATCTGATTTTCGCCAGTAGTACTGACGTCCTTTGAAAGCTCCAAAGAGTACAAATCTACTTTCATCAGAAAAAATAACCTTTTTTCAATCATCAACCGTCCAGTCTTCATATTGTTTAGCAAATTCATATCGTGCTTGTTTTGCAGC